CTCTCTCTCTCTCTCTCTCTCTCTCTCTCTCTCGCCGCGTGTATTCCATGTGAATTCGCACGAACGCAACGATAAGCGAATTTTGATCGCCGATATACAAATGCAACACTCGTTCATGATAAGTTGTGCTAAAACCAGTCGGTTTTACATTTTACCGTTATTGCACACGCATGCGTTGTTTTCTCTCACCCGTCTAGCATTTATATCCCAGTTTATGGGAAATTGCACGCTGCATATCGCGCGAATACAATCGGCCATGCTTTAATAGCGAACGATGCATCCATCTAGCAAGGTGATTAATTAAACGCTATTAACATTTAATTGTTAATGCATACAGTTAATTGTTAATATGCACTCACTATTAAGTTTTCATATTACGTTCTTCAATCAATCTACAAACTCGATTACGCAAGTTGGATACATGTAACAGTTTAATTGCTATACGGATTTTGTAATCGCGCGCGCGCGCGATCATATTATTATTTTTATCAGAATTAGTAAAAACATGTTTAAAACATGCTTAATTGATATTTTTAATGTTTTAAATATGTTTTTTATAGTACTGTTTAAAGAATATTTGAAGCATTAAAAACATATTTTTTTAGTAGAAACACAATATGTTTTATTCATAAGCTAACTTAATCTTTGTAATATTGCTTTACATACTCTATCGGAGCTGAAGGCAATAATACATATATGGAAAAAATTATCGCGTTACATATTTGCATCTTGCAGAACAGCATAAAGTAAATACGCATATAATTCAACAAAAATGTTTTATATCAAAGTGAAAAGATTCTGGAAAATCTTATATTATATATTGTAATTCACTTGTAGGTAACTTATATAGATAATTTCTGTAAAAGAAAAAGAATAGGAATATGTGGCATTACTGCCCACTGTGTCAGTTTTAAAGCCCATTTTGTCAGATGTTCGTTTTTGTTTATCTTACGAAAAAATTATTGCAAAATTACAAATAGTATTATAAAAACTCCTTATATTATCTGATAGAAGACACTTTTTAATTTATATTTATGTACTTAAAGTTTTATTTTTATCTTTTGTTTAAGAAATATTGTCTAAAAACGAAGTGATATCGGCGACCTTCCCCTATATTAATGCAAAGTGTTCATATACAGACAATAGAAACGTATATTAAATTAACACTAAAATTGACGGCGCCCTGATGAATCCCTATAGAATTCCCTATAGGATTGCATGATATTTATACATTATAGGACACATCCAATTGGATACAGCAGTCAAAGTGTTAATTTCGAAAATTAAAAGGCTACGACGGCCATGGAATTCTCGTTAAATCGAAACTACAAATTCGTCGAATCTATCAAAGAATTCGCCATTGAAATTTACTGCGGTGAAAAGAGCGCCAGCGTATAGATTCTAATATAAATTGACGAGTCTGGCAAATTCGTTATATCCCGAAAAAGTACACACGTGCTCTCACACATATATTTTCTTGACAGTCCCTTTCATCACGCGAAAAGCGATTGATAACAAACCCTATCGCGGGCAAAGAGAATCAAAGGATCGAAAGGCCAGCTTTAATGCATGGGTATAGACTCGCACTAAAAATTCTAACTTTGTCCGAAAGCAAATTTTGTTTCAAAGGGCAACCGATATCCTCTCCTCCTCCATACCTCCCCCCACCACTCTTCACCCTCACCACCGTTTGATCTGGCGGAATCCGGACCGCGTCAGTCAATAGAGACAGCGAAACGGGAGTATGAAAAATGAATCTGAGGGGGTTAAAGCGATTCGAGCCGCATCAGAGGGACGGTTTTGTTGGCGGTCGAATCGCGACAAGACACAGGAGCATTCAGTGATGGTGAAGGGGTGTGACAGGGGAGGAGAGAGGAAGGAAGCAGGGGACGGAAGAACCTTCGCAAATACACTCCGTGGTCGGCTTACGACGGATCGACCGCGCGGTCGCCACACAGCTCGTGCGGAATATAAATGTAAACGGCGGGAATATGCGGCCGATCCGCTCGCAATTCCATTCACGTCCCGACACTCCTACGCCCTGGCTGTCACCGTCCGACCAGAATCGCGCGGCGACCCCCGCGTTTCATTCCCTCCCCCCGACTCCTGCAAATCTGCATCCCCTTATCGGAGCGAGAGTGCGTTCGGCAACCCGAAACTATGCGCGGCAGCTACTCGCGGTCGTCTAATTCAGTGCTTCTCAAATTAGGTTACGCGAGAATAAATCTGTAGTACACGTTGAGATTAATTTCGCCTTAGTCATTCGCACAAAACGCATTTAAATGCACACGTCTTATAAAGTTTTGACATAAAGGACGCGGTTCCACTGATACATTTTATTTGCATTTATACAGTTATCTAAATCAACATTAATCCTTTTTATAGTTTTATCGTCATCACATGTAATCACTTCTTATTGTTATATTTACAATCGAACTTAATTAATTTTGATATAATTAACCTTTAATTATAATACTCAGACAGGAAAGTAAATGTTAGTCTTGCGAAGTTTGAGAAGCACTGACTTGAACAGCTTGAATGACAAATACGATGCACGTTGAGGTCAGAATTTATGTATATGTACTCCGAATATTTTTATAACGGAGATTATACGTTTCGTTTGTTTCATCTACCCGATCTTCCAAACCTCTTATTCCATCCAGTGAATCATTACGATGTAGCGTATGATAAATGTGTAAGAGGTAACTGAGAACCGAGAGTTCTCCTCTCTGAAAACGACTCTCAATAAATTTACTCAACTGCGAGAAACTTTTACGTAGGTACGTATGCGAACTTAACTTTGAAATTATGTATGATTGGCTCTAAAGGGATGCATCTAAACTACAAATTTGAATTTACCAGATGTAAATTTATAATGTAAACTAATACGGTGAAACATAATAAATATTGTTTCGAAGTTACGGCATTTTTATGAACTTTAAATTTTCTCGGAACGAGAAAATGAGATGTCCGTGTGATTTCGTAAATGGAAAAGACAAAGTTTGCCGGAAAAAGTGGTAGAATGACACGCTGAAGTATTGTACTTGTGAGAGGTCTCAAAATGAATATTTTCAAGGAAATGATATTTCTAACGAACTTTTCAAATTTAAAATAACATGTAGTGCGCATTTTAAAATAATTATTCACGTTTTGAGATAATTATTACTTTGCGCATAATACTAACATCATAAACATCATAAATGGCTGAACGTACAAGTTAAAATTAGAGATAAATACCTGTAAAATGTAATATCTGGGACACAATGTCGAGAATGCGGTTGTTACTTTGTGCTTGTACAATGGATTATATTGATTGAATAAATCCAACGAAATTTCTCTTTTTAATAAATCACCGA